CATTGCAACATACACATACACACAAAGTAATTGTTGAACATATGAAGACACAACCTTAATAACAAAGTCAAATATAACTATTTGAAACTAATTAGTAGAACACAACAAATGCTGTCAACAGATTGATGAAACAATAAATATAATTAGTTAGTGATTTTGGAAATTAATAGAAATTTATTTATATTTTATTATATAATTGATAAATTTTGTATTTTGTTAAGTTCTTGTTGTTTTTTTTTTCTATTTTTTGTTTTTGGTTACCAAAATATGTTTGAACATATTTCCTTTTGCCTTTCAGCACCTTGAACTTGTAGTTATGCATTTAGAAATATTTTTGTTAGTTTTTTGTTATAGCATTCTATTCCAAATTTGTTACAAGATAAATTTCAACAATGTTTTAACAAGATGTTTTCTTCTATTTATTGCTTTCAAGTGATTTTATTGCAACTGCTATGTGTTCATGCTTTGAAATGAAAAGGGAAATAGTACAATATAAATTGTGTACTTAAATCTGGGATTTGTTTGCAGATGTGTAAAATTCAAATGTTTATAAATAAAAAGTTTTTAAAATTATGTTAAAACTTTGTTAAATTTATATATTTATGCATATAAAGGGGATTTTTCTTTCATGATCTACTTCTTTGTCAGGTCTGTTATATATTTTATTCAAAATGCAATCCATTGGCTTTCATTGCAATCCATTGTTACAGTTTATCCTTCCATACAAATACAATTTATCGGCTGCATCGTTGTTTTATTTAAACATTCTTTTGAACATGGTTAACAGAATTCCTTATTTCCAATAGCAGTTTCTCTATATATGTAAGTTCAGAAAGTAATATTACACAATTTCAAATTGTGCTTTTGTGGAAAGTTTTAAAAATATTTTTTGTAATTACTTATACCCTACACTTCGTGAGAAGAGTATGTACATATAATATTAAGTATATATATTCTGGATCTTTGTAGATAGCGGATTCGATTAAGCCATGTCCTTCTATCTGTCAGTTTTGTTGAAATTAATTTTCTGAAGACCCCAGTTATTTTCGGGATCCAAATCAGTTTGACACGATTGCGAGAAGTTTCTTATTTAAATAAGCAGAAATCCGTCCATAAATAACGGAGATATGAGCAAAAATCCGAGACAACTCTGAAAATTTCATCAACAAATTTTTTCATATTTGACAAAAAAGCAACATTACTTATCATTGTGTTTTGTTTTGTTATTGCTAAAGTAATGGTAGAATCGGGAAAAATTAAAAAAATTGAAATTTTATAAAATTATTCTTACATACTATGCTCAAGGATTGACTCTCACTTATTTTGAAATGCAATTGGAAATTTCTGAAATGCACTAGCAAATGGTGTGGTGCAAAAGGAATAAGATACGTTTATACGTTTATTTTTTTTATACTTTTAAATCGAGTTTTGTTAGCGCTAAAAAAAAAGAAACAAAAGCAAAAAACCTTAAACAAGGGTAGAAATCAAGTCATGTACATGTTTGGTGTGAAACATTTTGTGGCGACAACTTATTCGTGCATGTTCACATATTCCATTCGAATGGCTGTTTCACAAAAAAAAAAAAAAAAAAAAAAAACATTTCAAAATGTTTGGTCATTGTTAACATACACCGTGATATTTATAGAATTTTTTGTGTATGCGAATAGTGTAAGCAGCAAATTGTGTGACTTCATACTCTTTTGGTTTCAAAAAGTTTTTTTTGTACATATGTTTTTCTTTGCTTTCAACAAAACGATATCACTTGCAGCACTTTTTCTTGCCTATAGTTTTTTTCTGTGTATTAACTTTGAAACACTTTACTGTATCAATATTATTCTTTCGACTTAGCTTTAATTCATTTAGCTTTTCTAATTCTTCCTTTAAACCACAGTCACGTTGTAGCTTAGTTGTTTTATTGTCAGACAAAGGGCTTCTAGATTATAAACTACTGCAAGTTTTATTAAAAATTAAAGTCACAAAATAAATTTGATTACCTAAATTGACTATATTGGCAAACATGGAATAATCTACTTCTGTTTTAATTTCAAAACTGAAATCAGTAAACAAATTTTAAGCTTATTTTTGCAATAAATATTATATTAGTTTTTATTAGTTATATAATTATAATATTTAATATTATAGAACTGAACTAGAACTGAACTAGAACTGAACTAGAACTGAACTAGAACTGAACTAGAACTGAACTAGAACTGAACTAGAACTGAACTAGAACTGAACTAGAACTGAACTAGAACTGAACTAGAACTGAACTAGAACTGAACTAGAACTGAACTAGAACTGAACTAGAACTGAACTAGAACTGAACTAGAACTGAACTGAACTGAACTAGAACTGAACTAGAACTGAACTAGAACTGAACTAGAACTGAACTAGAACTGAACTAGAACTGAACTAGAACTGAACTAGAACTGAACTAGAACTGAACTAGAACTGAACTAGAACTGAACTAGAACTGAACTAGAACTGAACTAGAACTGAACTAGAACTGAACTAGAACTAGAACTGAACTAGAACTGAACTAGAACTGAACTAGAACTGAACTAAACTGAACTAGAACTGAACTAGAACTGAACTAGAACTGAACTAGAACTGAACTAGAACTGAACTAGAACTGAACTAGAACTGAACTAGACTGAACTAGAACTGAACTAGAACTGAACTAGAACTGAACTAGAACTGAACTAGAACTGAACTAGAACTGAACTAGAACTGAACTAGAACTGAACTAGAACTGAACTAGAACTGAACTAGAATGAACTAGAACTGAACTAGAACTGAACTAGAACTGAACTAGAACTGAACTAGAACTAGAACTAGAACTGAACTAGAACTGAACTAGAACTGAACTAGAACTGAACTAGAACTGAACTAGAACTGAACTAGAACTGAACTAGAACTGAACTAGAACTGAACTAGAACTGAACTAGAACTGAACTAGAAACTGAACTAGAACTGAACTAGAACTGAACTAGAACTGAACTAGAACTGAACTAGAACTGAACTAGAACTGAACTAACTGAACTAGAACTGAACTAGAACTGAACTAGAAGAATAGAATGAACTAGAATGAACTAGAAATGAACTAGAAATGAACTAGAACTGAACTAGAACTGAACTAGAACTGAACTAGAACTGAACTAGAACTGAACTAGAACTGAACGAACTAGAACTGAACTAGAACTGAACTAGAACTGAACTAGAACTGAACTAGAACTGAACTAGAACTGAACTAGAACTGAACTAGAACTGAACTAGAACTGAACTAGAACTGAGCTAGAACTGAGCTAGAACTGAGCTAGAACTGAACTAGAACTGAACTAGAACTGACTAGAACTGAACTAGAACTGAACTAGAACTGAACTAGAACTGAACTAGAACTGAACTGAACTAACAGAACTAGAACTGAACTAGAACTGAACTAGAACTGAACTAGAACTGAACTGAACTGAACTTGAACTGAACTAGAACTGAACTAGAACTGAACTAGAACTGAACTAGAACTGAACTAGAACTGAACTAGAACTGAACTAGAACTGAACTAAGAACTGAACTAGAACTGAACTAGAACTGAACTAGAACTGAACTAGAACTGAACTAGAACTGAACTAGAACTGAACTAGAACTGAACTAGAACTGAACTAGAACTGAACTAGAACTGAACTAGAACTGAACTAGAACTGAACTAGAACTGAACTAGAACTGAACTAGAACTGAACTAGAACTGAAACTAGAATGAACTAGAACTGAACTAGAACTGAACTAGAACTGAACTAGAACTGAACTAGAACTGAACTAGAACTGAACTAGAACTGAACTAGAACTGAACTAGAACTGAACTAGAACTGAACTAGAACTGAACTAGAACTGAACTAGAACTGAACTAGAACTGAACTAGAACTGAACTAGAACTGAACTAGAACTGAACTAGAACTGAACTAGAACTGAACTAGAACTGAACTAGAACTGAACTAGAACTGAACTAGAACTGAACTAGAACTGAACTAGAACTGAACTAGAACTGAACTAGAACTGAACTAGAACTGAACTAGAACTGAACTAGAACTGAACTAGAACTGAACTAGAACTGAACTAGAACTGAACTAGAACTGAACTAGAACTGAACTAGAACTGAACTAGAACTGAACTAGAACTGAACTAGAAACTGAACTGAACTGAACTAGAACTGAACTAGAACTGAACTAGAACTGAACTAGAAACTGAACTAGAAACTGAACTAGAACTGAACTAGAACTGAACTAGAACTGAACTAGAACTGAACTAGAACTGAACTAGAACTGAACTAGAACTGAACTAGAACTGAACTAGAACTGAACTAGAACTGACTAGAACTGAACTAGAACTGAACTAGAACTGAACTAGAACTGAACTAGAACTGAACTAGAACTGAACTAGAACTGAACTAGAACTGAACTAGAACTGAACTAGAACTGAACTAGAACTGAACTAGAACTGAACTAGAACTGAACTAGAACTGAACTAGAACTGAACTAGAACTGAACTACTAGAACTGAACTAGAACTGAACTAGAACTGAACTAGAACTGAACTAGAACTGAACTAGAACTGAACTAGAACTGAACTAGAACTGAACTAGAACTGAACTAGAACTGAACTAGAACTGAACTAGAACTGAACTAGAACTGAACTAGAACTGAACTAGAACTGAACTAGAACTGAACTAGAGCTGAACTAGAATATAAGGCTCCCTTCAGAAAATTGCTTAAAGGCTTATTACTGGCATACGTACGAAGCAAATAAGTGTTTTACGAATCGAAATTGATATGTTTTTAAAAATTAATATTTTGTTAATTCGAAAGGGATGTGTCCATAATTATCTTAAGCCGTATTCCAAATATCAACTTAATGTTTATAGGGGAGCATTCCATATACGGGACACGGTTCTTACTTTTTATTATTACTTAATATTTTCTTATAAAAGGCTTTTCTAAATTGACTTACCTGTGCTGATATTCTCCCCTTTTTCAGTCGTGTTAAATCTGTATGACTCCAATGACTTCTTTTCCAAGGCATAACGTCTCTGAGATCTTCATTAAAGCTGCAAGTAAATGAAAAAATAGTAAGTAACATTTACTTTATAAAACAAAACATTTTTAGAAAAAAAATATAAGACTAATTACTAACTAGTATGAAGTTGAAAAAAATGTTAAAACGAAATGTGCTACAAGACTCAAAGTAAAAATACTACTCTGTATTTCTTTTATAAACTTACACAAGTACATATACTCTATGTAATCAATCAATAAACTTACAACTGTACAAGTACTTGAAAAGTGCACTTACTTAAAGTCATTGAGTTTATTGTGCAGGAACTTTCGTATATTCCAGGGTAAATCGTTATGCCCATCAATTAAAGGCACTTGATCCAACAGTTGTAGGGCAACACGTAAACGTTCTTCAAATGGAGCACCTATTAAGAAGAAAATAAAAGCAAATGGAAAAAATGGGAGATTAAAAAGAGAAAAATTTAAAAGAATTATGAACAGATTTCAAAAACAGTTGAATAATGTTTTTATAACATTAAAAAAAATATGTTTTATACGACAAAATTATGAAGAGTTTAAGGTTGGATATGTATGTTGTTGTTTAATTTTTTTTTTAAATTTTTGAAAAAATTTAAAGATCGTTTGTTTCATGACTTCGTAAAATCCTGGTATTGTATCAATACAAAACATAATAATGATAATTGTGTTATGTAAATACCATATGTATGTATTCATATTAAAGAAATCAAAAAATCTAAATTTTGATATTCTGTCAACTTTTTATAAAACTCAATCTTACATAAATTGAGGAGTAAACAGTCTGAAAAACTTGCTCTGCTATATAGGAAATATTCTTCATTACTTTGGTAAGAGCTTTTTTTCTCAACTCAAATACTTTATGAAGTGTTTGTAAGTTGAAGTGTTTGTAACATTATACATATACAGAAGCACTGTAAACGTAAAATGAAAAAAAAAAAAAAAAAACAAATTAAAGCCACGCAATGTAAACTGTGCAACAACTCCAAGATGCATAGAAAGCTAAAAAAAAAATTCATAGTTATTGAACATGACACATTGAATGTCTTTTTTTTTTTGCTGATGCCTGTACATTACACCTCAAATGGAAACTGGGCAATAGCAAGAAAGAGAAAAAATAAAAGACTAAAATAATTGATTTACTTACTTGCTGCTACACGTAACGCCAATGGAACAGCTACACTTGCAGCACCAATTATTAAAAGTATCGAACTAACAGCCAGCCAGTGTTTTGCAGCATCAAATCCTTTACGTTGCAACAATGAAAAAACACCATATGCCAAGATATACAAACACACGAATGCAACGAAAAGTTATTTAAGTTGTAGAAGCAATTTAAAAAGCCAGCAAGTAGTAAACATGGATATTTAAAGTGATTGTTGTTGATAACACGATAAAATTTTCATTGTTATTGTAGTTGTTGTTTAAATTATTTCAGTATGCATGTGATGATATCGTTGTAGTAAGTTTCAAGTTGTTGTTAAGGAATATTTTTGGTAAATTCCATAGACAGCACAACAATGCCAAATAATCAACATGATGTAATTTAGCATATAAGGAAGCAGCAGATACGACGACAAATTGAAGTGACCATCAAGGAAGATTATTACATTGTTGAAGCAGGAAGATAGAATATGACCGAGAAAGAAAGAGTAATTAAGCTGTTTAGTTAAGTTTTGTTAAGGTTAATATAAGATAAATAAACGCATTTATAATGAATAATAATACCATTAACTAGAATATATTTAGAACAGAACTAGAATATAACTAGAACAGAACTAGAACAGAACTAGATCAGAACTAGAACAGAACTAGAACAGAACTAGAACAGAACAAGAACAGAACTTGAACAGAACTAGAACAGAACTAGAACAGAACTAGAACAGAACTAGAACAGAACTAGAACAGAACTAGAACAAACTAGAACAGAACTAGAACAGAACTAGAGAGAACACAACTAGAACAAGAACTAGAACAGAACTAGAACAGAACTAGAAACAGAACTAGAACAGAACTAGAACAGAATTAGAACAGAACTAGAACAGAACTAGAACAGAACTAGAACAGAACTTGAACAGAACTTGAACAGAACTTGAACAGAACTGAACAGAACTAGAACAGAACTAGAAAGAACTAGAACAGAACTAGAACAGAACTAGAACAGAACTAGAACAGAACTAGAACAGAACTAGAACAGAACTAGAACAGAACTAGAACAGAACTAGAACAGAACTAGAACAGAACTAGAACAGAACTAGAACAGAACTAGAACAGAACTAGAACAGAACTAGAACAGAACTAGAACAGAACTAGAACAGAACTAGAACAGAACTAGAACAGAACTAGAACAGACTAGAACAGAACTAGAACAGAACTAGAACAGAACTAGAACAGAACTAGAACAGAACTAGAACAGAACTAGAACAGAACTAGACAGAACTAGAACAGAACTAGAACAGAACTAGAACAGAACTAGAACAGAACTAGAACAGAACTAGAACAGAACTAGAACAGAACTAGAACAGAACTAGAACAAACTAGAACAGAACTAGAACAGAACTAGAACAGAACTAGAAACAGAACTAGAACAGAACTAGAACAGAACTAGAACAAACTAGAACAGAACTAGAACAGAACTAGAACAGAACTAGAACAGAACTAGAACAGAACTAGAACAGAACTAGAACAGAACTAGAACAGAACTAGAACAGAACAGAACTAGAACAGAACTAGAACAGAACTAGAACAGAACTAGAACAGAACTACCCCAGAACTAGAACGAACTAGAACAGAAACTAGACCAGAACTAGAACAGAACTAGAACAGAACTAGAACAGACTAGAACAGAACTAGAACAGAACTAGAACAGAACTAGAACAGAACTAGAACAGAACGAGAACAGACTAGAACAGAACTAGAACAGAACTAGAACAGAACTAGAACAGAACTAGAACAGAACTAGAACAGAACTAGAACAGAAACTAGACAGACAACTAGAACAGAACTAGAACAGCAACTAGAACCGAACAGAACAGAACTAGAAACAGAACTAGAACAGAACTAGAACAGAACTAGAACAGAACTAGAACAGAAACTAGAACAGAACTAGAACAGAACTAGAACAGAACTAGAACAGAACTAAGAACTAGAACGAACTAGAACAGAAACTAGAACGAAACTAGAAACAGAACTAGAACAGAACTAGAACAGAACTAGAAAACAGAACTAGAACAGAACTAGAACAGAACTAGAACAGAACTAGAACAGAACTAGAACAGAACTAGAACAGAACTAGAACAGAACTAACAGAACTAGAACAGAACTAGAACAGAACTAGAACAGAACTAGAACAGAACTAGAACAGAACTAGAACAGAACTAGAACAGAACTAGAACAGAACTAGAACAGAAACTAGAACAGAACTAGAACAGAACAGAACTAGAACAGAACTAGAACAGAACTAGAACAGAACTAGAACAGAACTAGAACAGAACTAGAACAGAACTAGAACAGAACTAGAACAGAACTAGAACAGAACTAGAACAGAACTAGAACAGAACTAGAACAGAACTAGAACAGAACTAGAACAGAACTAGAACAGAACTAGAACAGAACTAGAACAGAACTAGAACAGAACTAGAACAGAACTAGAACAGAACTAGAACGAACTAGAACAGAACTAGAACAGAACTAGAACAGAACTAGAACAGAACTAGAACAGAACTAGAACAGAACTAGAATGAACAGAACTAGAACGAACTAGAACAGAACTAGAACAGAACTAGAACAGAACTAGACAACAGAACTAGAACAGAACTAGAACAGAACCTAGAACAGAACTAGAACAGACACTAGAACAGAACTAGAACTAGAACTAGAACAGAAGAACTAGAACAGAACTAGAACAGAACTAGAACAGAACTAGAACAGAACTAGAACAGAACTAGACACAGAAACTAGAACCGAACTAGAACAGAACTAGAACAGAACTAGAACAGAACTAGAACAGAAACTAGAACAGAACTTAGAACAGAACTAGAACAGACTAGACAGAACTAGAACAGAACTAGAACAGAACTAGAACAGAAACTAGAACAGAACTAGAACAGAATAGACACAGAAACTAGAACAAGAACTAGAACAGAACTGAGAACAGAACTAGAACCGAACTTAGAACACGAACTAGAACAAGAACTAGAACAGAACTAGAACAGAACTAGAACAGAACTAGAACAGAACTAGAACAGAACTAGAACAGAACTAGGAACAGAACTAGAACAGAACTAGAACAGAACTAGAACAGAACTAGAACAGAAACTAGAACAGAACTAGAACTAGAACAGAACTAGAACAGAACTAGAACAGAACTAGAACAGAACTAGAACAGAACTAGAACAGAACTAGAACAGAACTAGAACAGAACTAGAACAGAACTAGAACAGAACTAGAACAGAACTAGAACAGAACTAGAACAGAACTAGAACAGAACTAGAACAGAACTAGAACAGAACTAGAACAGAACTAGAACAGAACTAGAACCGAACTAGAGCAGAACCAGAACAGAACTAGAGCAGAACAGAACTGTCATTATTTGTCATCAGTTATCATTACTTTTCTTTTTAAAGTGTATTTGTTAATATTACAAAATTTTAAATAAGTTAAATAAAATTTAATTAACTTCTTAAAATAGCATCAATTTAATGAGTAACATAGCCAATTAATTGTTGTTGCTATTTTTGCAGTCCTGTCACTTTTTTTTATAAATATTTGTAAAAATACAGAAACTCCCATACAGTTAGCTGAAGTAATTGGTATAGTACAATTAATAGTGTCAAAATGGGAAATCTTCTTTTTATTATTTTCTAGCAAAGTCTAACATGATTGTGTATTTTCATATATTTCTTATCGATAAATTAAATTTTTAGTCCCCCAACTAATTAAATGTTACGAACACTAAGCCAACATACTAATTAAAAACATTTGTTACACTTTATACACATTTGCTTTGAAACAATTCTGGGAAATATTGCACTTACAATGAAATGTACTCTAAGGGTGTATTATTGTCATGGTAAATGAGTACTTAAAGGGCATGTATGAATATTAGGGGTATAACCTTATATGAGTATGAAATTGGACTTAAACTGTTAAAAGTATGAGGTAAAGTTTCTAATTTCTTTAATTACGTTATTGTCGATGGCATTTGTTTAATTTGTTTAAATTTTAAAATCAATTTAAATAGTTAGTAGTCTCTTTTATTAATTGAGAAACTTCGTTCTAAAAATGGTTGCCATGGTTACCGATGGATGTATTTAATTTAATTTAATTCAATTCCATTTTGAAAGCTCTTTCGTATTGTATGTTTTATTACATCCGGATTTCTATATCACATCAGGATTTCGTGGCCTAAAGATTACAAAAACCCACGTCTCATTTATAGTCTATAAAGGATTTTTTTCTAAATTTTTTAGTTAACTCGATATGATGGAGTAATTCTGAGATCAGAATCGGATTTAGTATTAATAAGTTATTTTTATTTCAATATAAATTATATGCCCTCGTTAAAATATCTTTTTCACATCCTTAAGTTATGCTATAGTTTCATATACATACTTTGTATTTTAACTACATTACCATATGGTGCGTATGAGTGATATGTTTCCAATATTTGAATATTTAAAAAGTATACGTTCTGTGAAAGTTTCAATGTGTAGTTTTAGAAAAAAAAAAATATAATGTTATAAACTAAATTCTGACTTCCCTAATATAATACCGATATTGTAACAAATGTTATTACATACTAAATATAAAATTATTTAAAAACTTTTTAATTTGAACCCTATAAATGTTCTAGTATCTCTACAAAAATCGGCAAAACTTTGTCTTATATAAATTTAAATGATACTGTTAATTTTCATAATGATCAGGCCCATAGCCCCCATACAAAGGTCAACAATTTATTTATAAAGACTAGTATCACGGTGGAATTCTGCATAAATTCCGTGTAATCCTCTAACAAAATTTATAAATTTATCATTGACGCCATATAACCCCTCTTTCAGAAAAACTTGTATTGTGTTTTTATTCAATATATCACAGGTCACCACTATTTGGATTATTTAAAGTTTTCAGCCTATCTGAAAATAAAACTCTCTCGTATCTATTTTTATATTCCTAAAAGAAATATGTAATATGGCTTAGTAACAAAAGGATGTCAAAAAATTCAAAATAATTATAAGATAATCC